GGTAAGAAGGTGTACAAGGATGTGGACGAGGACGAGGTCGAGAACGAGGATGAGAAGCTGGATGTGGATAAGACAGAGAATGAGGAGGAGAACAAAGGAGGGAAAAGGAGGGAAAAGGAGCGACAATGGCACCAGTGGGGGATAAATCCGCTGAATTATGGCGGGCAAAAACGTTAATAGGTCTTCAATTACGGTGGCGCAGAATCGCGAGTCTCATTGTCGTTTTTCAGCCGGACAGCAACGCGGCAGGCGCTGTTGTTGCGTGCGAGAAGCGATTCGTTTGGCAGTCGCGGCTTATGTATAAGTCAGGCATTTGTAACAACGGCAAGAGAGTCGGGGAGTCAGAGTCCGAGTCAGAGGCCCGGAATGCCCAATCGTACGAACCTCAGGGTCACCGCTCGCTACCTTATAAGGAACCATTTCAATGCGCGCGTTTTTAAATTTCCTCCTTTTTTATCCTTTTTCAAGAACATCAGGAGACCGAGTGCAATACTTCGTCGTGGCTCATTTCTACTCATCCCACTTACTCTCCCTCCCTCCCCCCTCCCGTTATATTGGCTTTTACGTGTCGATCTACTTCTGAGAACGACATTACCGGTCCCGGCATTTAATTTCATTTTCAATAAACGCCACTTTACTTTGTTTCTTCGCAGCGCCTTTATTACAACACGACCACCTTATTTTTACGTTAAAAAATCGTTTGTAAGCTAATAATAAAGCAATTTAAAATGTTTTAATGAGAGGAGGCCGCCGCATACAGCTGCGCGTCTCCGTACACGGACGTGTAATTAAAATAAAAAAAGCGACTTAGTCTCTAATCAGCTGGGGACCTCTCATGAATCAGTCTTCGGGGAATAATCCAAGTTTCTTCGGACATCTGTATCGCGAAATTCAATTAACCTGCATGATACCGTATTGCAGGTCTCTGCTCTCCCAGTTAAAATTAAAATATTCGAGCTGGCGTTTTTTCATTTAAATCTCACCCGCTGCACGATTATCAGCAAGAGAGAAGGAGGGAGGCATGGAGGAACAGGAGCCAAAAAAGTTGTTGTACGTTACGGACTGCAATAATACTTGTAGAGTAATAACAGTCCGATACGTTACAGTATATCTCATTCGAATACGAACGTCGAATTTTCTTACTCGATAGCGAAGACATACATTTTATAAAACTTTCAAAATTCGTAGAGAAGACTCGGTATATTGTACTGAAAATCTTGATCTCTTGGCACTTTAAAAGTTAAAATAGGCGCAGATGCGTGACAGTTGATGAGTTTAATCGAGGCCCTTTGTTACGCGACGTAAGTGCAACGGACGACCTCTGGTTGATTCTATAAAGTTGAAGATTGGATGGAGATGGTGGCGTGTCGGGTAAAGCGAGAGACGTTTCCGTATCTTCGACAAGAGAAGCGCCTCCAATTGTCCCGATCCTATCATTAGCACAAATTCCCTCTTGGCTTGTTATATTTGTTACGAGTCGACAGCGATATCGCGCTCAAGGTCGGGAGCGCAATTCACCGTAACTGCAGTCACACATAAGAATGTGTGTATCAAACACCGGGACGTGCTTCAGTTTTCAGGTTTTATCTGATTTTTCCATTTTATATATCGCTTTATTATGTATACAAGAGTCCGTGGACTACTTGACATTGGTGCATAAGATATTATTTTACTTATATCGGGCGTGCGCGCGCGAGCGAAATGCATAAGTTGAGACGAGTGAGCATTTGTGCACCATCGAATCATCTCGGCGCATTTTGCTTAAAAATTCGTACTTAATTCAACATGAAAAGAGCGAGTTTATTCACAACGCTCGTATATAATTATTTTTATTCGCATTTAATTAATCCTTTCGAAAGACACGAACACTAACCTTGGCCAAACACTGCCGCCGGCCAATTATATCAATATTTATCAATGTTACAATACGTCGTGGTTTCCTTAAGGGAACGACTATCCAGTTGCTGGTAGGCATGGGTGGGGGGCATTATAAAAATCGTTATATAATAATGTCATTATAAAGCGCGGCTAACAATATTGCCCTCTGTGTACACGAAGCGGGCAAATCATAGTCGCTAATTAGTCGCTTAAGAATCATCGGTCTTGACTCCCTTCTCACCCGAATTGTGAGAAAGGCAAGGGGGGAAGGGTGAGCAAATCGGTCGCGCGAATCGTCAATGCAATGCGTAACATCAGCGCTACTCGCTGGTGCATGAGCAGGAAGAGAGAGTCTTCGGCTTCGTTCCGACGTGCGCGTGCACGCGGACATTGGAAGATCGCTATCGGGGAGTGAGTCGCGCGTCGCTGAGCAGAGGAAGGCGTCGTTAAACGAGCAGCGGCACTATCGGCTTACAGCCTGCACGATGCAGGGGGAGCGACGGAAGTTTGGCCGATCCTCGTTCTACGGGGGAGCGCGCAATGACCCTAATGGCGTCTTAAATCATCTTCACGCGGCGGCGGCGGCGACGGTGGCGGTGACGGTGACGCTAACGGTGGCGACGCAAAAACACGGATAAGGGCCGCGTATAGAGTAAGGTGGCGTGAGAAGGAAATGAAAAATTGGACGAAAAATGAGGAAAGCCCATGCGGTCGAGCACCTTTCTCCCACGAGGTGCATCCTACCGATCCACTTAAATTGCCCTCAACTGGCCAATGAAGGAACTTTTTCTGTAAAGATTTTTTGTATGCTATCGAGGGAGTGAGTTGTCGTTGCAGTGATTTTTTTTTCTAATGTCAGGCACAATGGTACCGGTAACGAACGTCATTCGGCTCGACGATGAATAAAATGCATGAGTAATTAAATGCACGCTCGCTCGCTTACAACTACCACTACATGCGCCTCGTGTTATTACACGTGTATTTGTCCAGCGATCTCTAGATGGCAGGCAACGAATGATGTAGTCTCGTGTGGTGATCGGTAGGCCGAAGAGATATAGCAGAAGAGTCTCGGGGGCGATGAAACTTTACGCCCAAATGGAAGATTATACATTTGTTTTAGAATTATAAACAAGCGCGCGAGAGCTGTTGTACAAAATGGTCGAATGACATCACGAGGCAAAACCTCCAGCGCAACTAATTGCTTTTTTAGAGCTCGTTTAACCCAATTTATAGAAAATGTAAATAACATGCCGTGTGCCAAGCCCCGTGACAATGTCATTATGGCCAGGAAAAAAAAAAGAGGGGAAGAGGGATAAAAACGAAAGGACAGACGAGACGAGAGAAACAAACAAACGCGAGGAATTTCCCTCGGCCAAATTGCGTCGCAACATATCATCTTCATCGTAAAATAAGAGTAATTTAAACATCGGGCCGGATGAAGGAGCGCGCTCGCTGACAGTCACGTAACCCGGAGAATCCGAAAATATTTCGATCGTCTTAGCCCGTCCACGAGAGCGATATAACAAAAAGCGGATGGCGGGACAGAGCGATAGGGAGGGAGGGCGGTATGGAGGAAGGAATGGAGGGTGGGATGAAGGGAGGATTGGAGAAAGGGAGGAAGACATAGCATGTAAGAGAGAGAGAGAGAGAGAGAGTGAGTGAGTGAGTGAGTGAGTGAGTGAGTGAGTGAGTGAGAGTGTGAGAGGGTCGGCGAGGGGAGGGGGAATTGGAACGTAACGGCTCTGGCGCATCTGGCCGAATTAGCGACGGCACGTTGAACGTCAGGTGAACGGCAGGAAGAAGAAAGACGAAGGTCCTCCGGGCGCGGTCAAATAATCCGACAGCGAATTTTCGCCGCGCCAAATTCAAGCCACAGGCTGGGCGTGGAACCGCGCGAAAAGCTGCGCAGACGCAGGGCCGCGCAACTGGAGCACACGATCGACTACGTCTCATTCGTTACCTAATCTCGTGCGACACGGCACGGCGGCACCAGCTCCACGAGCAATTCCAATAATTAATTACGCGCATCGATCGCGGAAGTCCACGCGAATCGCATCTTCGGCTTCTACCTCACGCCGCGTCGCGCCTCCCCAACCACGACGAATCGAGGCAAAACATTCTCCACGAAATCGCGCGTGGTCGGTCGCGTGCATTTTACAGATAATGATGACGATGACGACAACAATATATGATAATGATGATGAAGGAGAAGAAAAAGACAATAATAGCCGACTGACGGGGCTATCCAAGACGTTCGGCGAGTAAACTTTCGTCCTCGCGAGTGCCGTACGTGCGTGCCCGTCGATCGGCCGAGTACTTGCGCATAGGCGGCGCAAGCGCGCACATTATGTTTTGGCCGTTAAATACGCGCTTCCAAGTTATTATCGAAGTTGCATTGTGCCGAGGCGGGAATAATATTTTGAGTACGCTATCGCGGCCGATACGCCACTAATGCCCGATCAATTTTCTTTCTACGTCTCTCACTATTGACTAATTGGTCGAATTTAAATAGGCTCGATTCGGCCAATTGCTGGCAGCCAATTGCTTTTTACTCGACGTCGCGACTCTACTCGACTCTACTCTACTCTACTCTACACGACTCGACTCGACTCGACTCGACTCGACGCTAAATTTTCCAATGGCCTCCGACGACGGCCGAGTCAACCAGCGAGCCATTAAACACGTATTTATCCAGTTTGGGCGCTGCGCCGCTGGAGGTGCACAGACATGTCGTTTCGTCGTGTATTATTTGCAATAGCGGGCGAGTTGTTTAACGACGAGTGCGAGCGACATTATTCGATAAAATCAAAGCCAGAGCGCTGCAATCGATCGACCTTTGCGAGTTATTGACTCTCATGTTTTTCCGACGCAATATACTTTTACTACACGTTTAATATTCAATAACAATGTGTGCCAACGAACGAACGAGTGTGCTTCATTGTCATTCGATAAGGCTGTGTAGTATTACGAATTGCACTGTGTTTTTGCCGTCGAGGATAGCGAATGGCGGCGGCTATTTGTTTTTCCAGCTGGGAGCAGCGACTTGCGACGTCGAGGATCGGGGTGAGCGGGGTGAGCGGGGTGAGCGGGGTGAGCGGGGCCGGGAATAAGCAAAAGCTCACCTCTTTCATGCCGTCGAGTCGGCCGAGGCTCTTGGTACCTCGCAGCGGTGGGAAAGCCAACTCCTGCCAGGACGAGCAGGGCTGGGGCTCGCCGACGGCGGCGAGGTTCAGGCCCCGGGCCCGGCTCTTGCTCTTGCGCTTGTCGAGCAGGTGCTTCGCCCTGGATTTACGCGCGGGCGTCGCCGTGGACGCCTGGCCGTCGTCCTCCGGCTCGCTCTGTACCTCCCAGCGCGAGGGCGACTTGAAGCGGCGCCGGGGACTCGTCGGCGAGGTGACCGGCGACGTCAGCCGCTGAACGAGGCTCCCGAACATGGTCATCCTTCGGGGCCCACCCGGGCGTCCCCAACAGTCCCCGCGCTTTTCGGCTCCCGTATCTCGCGGACTCAGGCGCGTCCCATTCTCCGGGGGCCTCTCGGCCCGTTCCCGTGCGCACAAACGGCGCCTGGGACCGCGGCCCCGGGGCTCTCGCGCTCTTTACGACCCAGAACCGCGGGATGAAAGTCTCGGCTGGACGAGGCCCCGCACCGGGAAATATCAGGCCGCGAAACGTGTCCTTGACGCCGCTCTTCTCACGTCTCTCTGGTATTAGTAATGATGACGGCCTCGGGCCTCTCTCAGGCACTGGCAACACTCGCGCACAGCCGCACGTGCACCGGCTCCGCCGCAGCAGGTGCCTCCTCGTGCTGAACGTCGCGACAGAGAGATGAACAACAGAGATATAGAGAGATATATAGAGAGAGATATGTAGAGAGAGAGAGAGAGAGAGAGAGAGAGAGAAATAGAGAGGCTGATCGAAGCGCGAGTGGGTGGGTGAGCGGTGCTGGCACAGGTGTCGCTGAGCTGCGGACGCGCTCTCGCACGTCGGTTGTCGCCCGGACTGCGTGCGAGATGGAACTGGCGCTTCGGCCGTCGGGACGGCGACGGCGAGCGGCGCGGCGCCGCGAGAAGAGGGGCCGAGTGCGGACGAGGACCGGCGGAGCCGCACGAGCTCGAGCCCCGGCCCGAGCGCGATAGCGAGAGAATGAGAGAGCGGTCGGGGGTTGCCATAGTAACCGGGACTCGCGTTGCCCCTCCTGCCTGGCCAGGCCTGCTCTGACTTGCTCCTGACGTCGTCATCGCTATCGTCGTCGTCGTCGTCGTCGTCGTCGTCGTCGTCGTCGTCGTCGTCGTCGTCGTCCTTGTTGCAATCACTGTTTCCGCGAGCGCCGCTCTTCTATCCGGGAACCCGAAGATCATTCGGATCCACGGACCATCGGCTGCATTTCAACAGAGGAGGACACGGTCCCCCACGTCCTTGGGCATTCTTTGGTAGGAGCGGCATCGAGGATCCTACGCCACGGCTTCCTTCGACATCGCTAGCAAAGTCGCAACGGCGAGTCCACGAATAGATCGCGACCCATCGTCGTAGGTACAGCCGGGATTATATTTTCTTTGGACTCTTTATAGCCTCTCCTACTCTCCCTTTATCACTCTTAGATTTACAGCCGCGAGCACCTGCGGAATTCCGACGAATAAGGTGTGTGCGGGCAATATGGGTACGGTGCGCGATGCACTCGGAATATCGCCGGCCTCTCTCCATTTTTACAGCTTTTAATGACCTTGTACCTAGTCATTTCTGGCCTCTCTTCTTATATATCAGAGTAAACACATGCAGTCGCCTTTTCCGCGGCTTCGCTAGTTACGGCTTGTCAATACTAAACTGACGAGACTTATAGGATTCGTAATTACGTTGTCGTAATGAAAATTGCCGAGAAATTTAGTGCTGCATTGGTGCAAACGAATTTTATCATCGCGCCTTCGGCCGAGGATAGATGAAGCGAAAAGAAGGTCGCGGTGGCGGCGACGGTGGCTAGAGGGGGAGGGGGGGGCAGAGTATTTACCAAGACAGTATTAAAATCGTAACTAAATACAATGAACAAGGCCTGTCAGCAGAATGGACAAAATGCAACGAAATTATTATACTTTATTTCGTTGTTACCTTGTATTACAAATGTATTTATAATAGGGCGGATAATTTTTTCATTTATTCGCAAGCGTCGACGCTCGCGCTCTCACGCACACGCAAAACACGAGCGTGCGCGCGCGCGCATGACAAAGTGTGCTCTTGGTTTTATTTTATGCTTAAACCCGAATGGATAATGTCACTGTCATGTGCATTGCAATTTATAATATAATAAAATGTGCAATATATTTTAAGCTACTACTCGATATTAATATTAGTTGAATGACTTTGTTTATTTCTTCTCTCGCTCTCTCACTCTCTCACTCACTCTCTCTCTCTCTCTCTCTCTCTCTCTCTCTCTCTCTCTCTCTCTCTCTCTCTCTCTCTCTCTCTCTCTATTTTACTCAACTTTAATAAAACAAAAAAAGGCAAATAAAAATTCTGTATGTGCTGTTCAGAATAATTTCAGTATAAAAGTATTTATACTACGATATTTTTATTGCGAGTACCTTTCTTTTAAGGCAGTGCATCAAAAAATGTACATACTTTTTTGCTATAAATTATAATGAAATATTATATACGTCCATGACTACGTGATCTCAATATATACGCTCCAATTTGATAAATCATTCATTCCTGATTTTTTCAATTTTTTAATTTTATTCTCTCTCTCTCTCTCTCTCTCTCTCTCTCTCTCTCTTATTATTTATTTAGGAAAAATGCCGATTTTTGCATTTTCATCAATGTTGTAATTTATCTTTTATTATCTTTTCCTACGTAAAGGTAATTTGTAATAGCAAGGAAAATGTCATCGATTAATCAACGGCAGTAGTAAAGCCTCGATCTTGCAATATCTAATGTTTATTGTGTACAATGCTGGTCGAATACAATGTTGGATAGTAAATTAAAATATTGTATTTCTAGAAGACTTCAACGTCAATATAATTCCAATCAATGAACTTATCGATAATAATAATGCAATTAATAATGAAGTTAGACTTATCATTCTTATTATAGTTGTAATCGAAATCGAAAGAATTAACCGAGTATTATAGAGTTTGTGTATCTATTACGTCGTGGGACATCGTTATCCATTATTGAGTAGCCTCAATATTTTCAAAGCTATTAAAAAGTTTTTGCTTTAAATTTTACAATCTTCAGTAGCGCGATACGACTGATCTTGGCATGCAGAATGTCTTCGCTTCTGCTACTTGCCACAAACTCATGAAATTCGCACTTTTTCGATTACGATACTTTATCGTAAGAGCTAATAAGTCCAATTAATTCATATACAAATGCAGAGTAAACAAATTTTTCGCGTATTATGGGATGATAAGTAAATGTGAAGCTTGTGACGTTGTGTCCATCCTTTATCTCATACACCTAAAACGATTCCAAATGGCCAACTATTGAAACTGCCTTGGGGCAAACGAACAAATATTTCGTGCGCATAATTAAATAAAATAATACTTTTTAAAATTATTTTCTCGGCCGGTTAATAATATTGTACACGCTATTTAGAAAGTTATCTTGGCGATCGAAAACACGAAAATGAACGCACCCTTTAAGCGCACTAAAGAATATGATTTAATGAAATGAGCACAATCTTGCCGTGTAAATTATAAAGTCAGAGCTTGAATAACTGTTTGTATGCGGTAACACAATTAAACGGTTACAGAATCGCATATCTCAGACTGTCGTTCTGCTTCTTCTCCTTTCCTTTCATTGCGTACACTTCATCTTTTACTCACGAAGCTCATTCGCTCTCGTGTAGCAGAAAATGAGAGAGCGGGCAAGTATCGGGGATAACAACGGCCGCTCACCGCGGCTAATTACGTGTCCACTTAATAATTACGAAGTGAGTACTACCGGTCGGCAACGATTAATCACGAGATCTGCTTGTCGCTTGTGCGTCCAATAAAGTCACGGAGAGAAGGTAATTCAACTTTTGACGAGTTAGCCCCAATGATAATCGTTGATTTATATAATATAATAAACGTGCGCGCGCGCCATTTAAACGTGTAAAATAAATGGCATATATTTGCTGTTTGGTAGCTTATTGGGTTGCTACAAATATTGCGTTATACGAATTCATCGAGTATTGCTTTCTTTTCGCCATTTCGTGCTAATTAATAAAAATGACCATCATCAGATTGAGGTGAGACTTGAAATCTGAGTCGAGCGTTCGATTTAGAATATCATACGGGCTCGAGATTTATTATTATTATTATTATTATTATTATTATTGTTTTGTTTTTGTATTTAAAAGCCAGGCTAGTTTGAGAATTTTTTAATCAAGGGAACTTCACGACCTCTCTAATGGATTTTTTAGGGTTTCTCGTTTCAGAAAAAAGCCAACAAGGCAGGAAAACACGTTCATAATAATCATAGAGATGGCTCAGCTGACCACAGGAACTAAACCTTCGTTCGATTTATCGTTAAGAGCATCGAAGGCTCGGTGACGTTACGTGTTCTCTGTTTCATGGTTTTTTTTTTCTCTCGCCCGAAAAACGATCCGATTACCGATTGGATCTCTCGATAAGGATCCTCGAGAATGCAGGTGTAAAGTATGATGATTCGCGTCAACTAGACCTTATCGGTATTCAATCAGAAAAAGACGTGCCGATGTGGAAATCATATAAATATTGCGCCTTATCAGCGCACTTTATTATCCGCGTAATTTATTAATGACGTAATTTACTTTATGGCGTATGGTTAAACGAAAGTGATTATCCGACCGTCGTTGAAAAATCCGGGGCAGCCATTTATTTAATAGAAGGACGATGGAGGGGCACTAGCTAGAGTCGCTTAGTAGCTGGAGTGATGATGCGGCAGGAGGAAGGAGGAGACCGATACATTAGAAGTCACGAATGCAATATATTTTTACGAGCCGGAAACCAGCAATTACGCGATCGTGTCAATTCAATTGAATTTTAGCCTACTTCGTGGAGTTAGTTGTCGAGCTGCGCTTATACGCTGTTCCACCTTTTTCGATTTAGCGTAAACCTATGGTCGACAGATAAGGTCTATTCAATTGGGAAGATCTATCGGAAGGTCTGATTTCCAGAACTGGAATTTCACCGTCGCTTACAACGTAAGAAAAAGACTAAATAATCGTCGTCGTCGTCGTCGTCGTCGTCGTCGTCGTCGTCGATATCGTCCTCCGCGTCGTCCTCGTCGTCCTCGTCGTGGTCGTCATCGTCGTCGATGTAACCGTCATAAATATCATTCAACCCCATTTCTGTTTGAACGCATTGTAACTTGGCCTACGTGAAATCACAGCGTTACACACGACCGTGCACACACGCGCGTACGCACGCACACGCACTCTTTGATACGCATCGGGCGCAAGTCATTGCTCGGAAGATCTATTCATGTATTAACGAGCGCTCTGACGACGCTTATATAGAAGGAGCGAGGAGAGTCGGTGCAGCGTTCATTACGGGTCCGCACTCGTCATTATCAGGCCTCTCTTATCGCCAGCAGACTGAGCGTCGAAGATAAAGTCCGAGTCGCGCTCACGAAGAGCGCACCGTTACTGCCCCTCTACGTA